GTCTTGTGTTTAAGATGAGAAAACCTTAAGAATCTTTGAATACTCTCTTGTATTGGAACTGACTGCCTTGTATGCTGCAAAAGGTCAATTTGCTTTCGCCTTCGGTTGAACGGTTTGTTTGAAAGGTTGTTTAAGAGTTAAAATAGACTTCATAGAGTTATGACACGTTCCGGAACTGGTCCCGAAGACTTTTAAGAGTTAAAAGGTTGCCGTCGGTTGCAGCTCTTAATGGGCTAAAAGCTGGGTTTGGCGTCAATAATGCGCATGTCAATAAAATAAAGATAAATTAACTATATTTTGACCCATTTGCTTTTCCTGTTTTTCATTCGTGCCCCCGATAGTTTTTCTTCTTCACATTTTTCTTTTTTGCTTAAAATTAATGTTGAATCAATCACACTAGTTTCAACAGGGGGTTCAGATTCTTTCATGCAAGTTTACTAAGAATAGTATTATTTAATCCAGGTTAATACAGTTTCAGTGTAGTAGAGTGTGTCGTTTTCCACCTTTGGGGTAAGATTATTTAGAGCTTTTCTGGTAGGGCAGACAATGCTTCTCCTATTGGGCCACGGGACTAGGCTTGCATATTGTCAATGTGAATGACCCTGATAAGCCCTTGCTGGAAATTGGGCAGCAAATCTCAAGGGCTAATACCCCATAACCATACTACTTCTAGGCAGCAACTGTACCCCTGCAAGAATTCCTCATTTGGTATTGAAATTTAGACAGAGGGACTTGCCCGTTTGTCCCCTCCGGTAAAAATGGAACTCTGGTAGTTGGCATTCCCCACGTGCCAGCCACCGCTACTATGGGATCAAGAACGGCCAGCCACCGCGACTATTGGATCAAGACCGGCAAATCAAAGTGGTGTCGGTTGTTGTTCAATTTTCAATACCAATTTTGCCTTACAGAATAATATGTTTATAGATTTCAATCCAACAACTCTTGCACTTTTAACTTTACGTTTAAATTAAAGTATTAGTGTGTGCCTTCACCTTTTATTTTAACGCAAACGATTCCCTTTGATCATGTAAAATCTCAACGGCAATGCACGCATTCTCTCTGTTAATTTTAGAGTATTTAAGTGTCAGGTCTCAAAGGGTTAACTCTGTACTAGAGCTGAGGCAAAACCGTGAGGCCCATCAAGATAATAGGTAGAGTCGTAGTGGAAGCAAGAGTAATATAAGAACAAAATAGAAATGAAAGATAGTTTCTATTTTCAAATTTCATAGATAAAATGAAGATACATTTTGATTAACGACAATAATTAAGGGTTAATGAGCACACCTCCGATGGGGGCTGCATTAGTTGACAAATAATAAATACGTAAACAAGTGGTATTACTTACAAGAATTCTTCCGACAAGGCAAGGCATAACATCCAGAAGAACACAGCTTTTTGCATACTATTTTACATGTTCCTGTCTTTCCTTCATGGCAGCCACATAACTATCATGGGTCTAAATAAATGACTTCTGCATATATTGAGGCGCGCCGGAACCGCAGCAATTCCTTCATCAGCTCCCATTCACCATCCTGGGAAGCAGGCTTAACAGTCAACCGCTCAAGGACAGGTGAATTTGAAAGCAGGAACTTGATGAAATCCATTTCCGATTTAACACCGGAGATGCCTGATACTTTAACCAGTCTCAGATGGGCAAACAGTGAGCTCCAATGATCATCTTCCCAAAAGTTAGAGGATGTTTCCACAGAATTTTGTTCCTCTGGTCGAGCCTATAAAAAACACCATACTTTTACAATTGCTAACCAACCCCTAAAGTCTGGAATCATTGCATGCATTACCATTTTAGATCAACTGTATATCTAAAAACGTTTATGTGATAAAAAAGCTGCAGATATTGATATGTGCATCAACACGAGAACCTAAGTGAGTAAATAAACAAAACTCACCAACATTTCCAGCTCTTGAAGATTTGGACAACTTCGTAGGAGGCATTGAGCAGCTATATTTTCCTCCAAATCCTCAAAATCTATGCGAATGGATAGATAATTCAGATCAACACATGGGTTAGGCAACCTGCTTGGCACACTTCCAATAGCCAAATACTGGAGCAAAAAAAGGAAGAAGAACAGTGCAAATTAGAATCTCATACAGATAAACTAAGGTGACACATTGACATCCTTGAGAACTTGAACAAGAAAATCACGATTCAAGAACCATTTTATGAAACAAACTTATAATACAGAATCTATGAAATTCACAAAGATCAGTAAAAAAAAATCTGATTTTGGTGTTTGCAGAATCCTATATAGGTTGTAAAAATGCATATAGATTTCCAAATGATAAAGAAAACACAATGGCACTCAATTGAAATCCCCAAGGAAACCATCAAAACTTGTTCAATATCCAAGAAGATACTAGTCTCTTCAATGATGTTTACTAAGCCATTACCTTCAAAAAGTAACTCTGAACCTCCAGCCTTCGAATATGGGGCAGATTAACAAAGAATCTGAGCAATTTACTAGAGTTCTCTTCAGCATTGTTCTCTTCATTGTCGATATTCACATACAAACCAATGGAAACTAGAGCTAAATGGACTGTATTCTGAAAGCTAACATCATCAAAAATACCTCCAATGTCAAAGAATTGCAGATTTGGTGCATCAATGTTAAGATGTGTGACACCAGTAAAGTTCATCAATGTTAATCTCTCAAGCAGAGGGCAGCTAGAAATGAGGTTTTCAAACACATTTTGGATGATGGTAATGTGCTGAAGATCAAGGCTCCTCAAATTCTTGAAACCTTTGAATGTCAATGGAGGTTTTAGCAAGCAATTAAATAGCTCCAAATGAATCAAATTCTGGCAATTAAATAAACAAGAAGGCGGCTTGTAGCGCTGGCCCTTCCATATTTCCAGTATGAATTCTTTGATAGAGCTCCTCGATAAACAAAGAATCCATCGATCAATGTCAGTGACTCCTAAAAGATCTCGATGAGAGAGTTTGAACTTGTGTAATGGACCCTTGTGAAGTAAGAGTACATGGTCAATGATGTTTACAAGCTTGTTTTTTATGAAAGTTTGGTCTTGGGAAGAGACATTAAGACACTGATTATCAAACACAAGATACGGTATTGTAGCCCATTTGTATCTCCACTTCCTTGACAGAACACTAGTCCTTACGGCATCCCTTATCGGCAAATGTGACAAGATTTGATCAATAACATGTCCTGGTAAGTTGCTGATCTTATCTAGCTCTGCCTCTGTTTTGATAGGCAATCTTAGAGGCTCTCTTTGCTTCTGAAATACTCATAAGGGACAGAACAAGCAAGTTAATGAAATAATACATATAGCACTTAATACTTATAACGTATTGGAGTTTCATGCACAAACATAACTATACAACCATATGCAAATATATTCCATAAGAAGTGGCCAAGGAAACAGATTTTATGTCAAATTGCACCTGTTCAAGTTATGCAGTTAGTCATTCATTTAAACAAATAGAACCAAAGACAGAGTCTCTACATGCTAAAGATGGCAAGTATGAAAAAGCATCAGTAAACCAACCGATGCACATTTCTGAGCGCATATTGCCATGTAGTAACATAACAAAGTAGCCATGGCCAAACTTAGAAGGGTGTATCTAGTCCTATTACTCACTTCCCTCCATTGGTTAAGCTTCAATACAAATCAAGAGTGTTGGAGAGCTTCAAATTCAAATTTAAGCAAATCAAATCCTCAGTTCAGTATATGGAAACAGAACAGCTAGTGAAAATCTACTTCAATTTCTGAAATTTCACAACCTATGAGAATAATCAAAGCAATCACATTGTTGCAATGCAAAAAAAGACTGAGACAGAGACAAATAAAAGAAGCACTCACAGTTACAATGCTCATTCTTTTTAGCTATCTGGGGATTTCAGGCATGCTTTTCAGTTCCCAAAAAGAACATCCTGAGCCCGTCAAAGCCTTGTTTCAACTAATCTACCAGCCGAAATCTGAAATATT